AAAAAGAGAGAGATGTTGTCCACTTTAGGAGATAGCTAGGTCATATTTCAGCGCCGTCTGCAGAAGAATTGTAGCGCCGGCTGGCTCTGACCCGGCAGTGATTCTTCCGTTCGAAACCAGGCGAACAACTGGAGAAATATCCAACAAACCGGTCAACGGGACCGCGCATGATCTGTTCCTCTCCGTGTCCTCATGGCACCCTTCGCTTACACACATTACCCTTCGATGACTACTACGCACACATGCCGGGAGCTAAGAGATGGGTTCAGGCTGTGGGAGGATACGTGAATGGAGAGAACCGCAGCAAGTCCATTTGTAGATCGGCGCCGGTTTCGCGTCATCCAGGTGGGAAATATGTCACGTCCCGCGATAACATGCACTATACTTTGTGGACAAATGAACTGTAGTTGACGAGCCCGGAATCACGTAATAACTCAAGTACAATTGTAACAAAATAGAAGTAGCAAATATAGCGACAGGAGAGTAATGTAAGAGATAGATTCCACGAAGGAGTTAGATGTGCGTATTTCCTCGATTCCAGTACATGTAAAAATATAGCGGAAATATTAGTAGAAAACGAGTTTTTTTTTTATTATGAGAAAATTTAAATAAATTAATTATATTTTGTATATTTATTTATTATGCAGTACCTAACATTTCATATCCACCTTGAATTTGTTTTCCAGGGTATAACGTATAAGACAACTTAAATACATTGTTAGCATAATAAATTAATATTATTAAATAGAAACATGAATGCATTGGACAATTCCTATTAATTTCATAAATTCGGGATCCAGAATCAGGTTTGTTATTAGTCAAAGTACATAAAATTTTCGTCCAAACCAGCAAGTTGAAATTGAGCATTGAATGTTAGAGTTGTCCAGTTAGTTACTTTAATTAAAACCTGTCACGCGAATTTCTGTACATCAGCATTTCTTGGCTAAAAGACATAGGAAGCCAATAGAACTTGTGTTTGAGTAACACTAGCGCATTGTTTCAGAAAGCATCAGGGCAGCTAAATAGTTCGCCGCTGGCTGTAGAAGAACAAATTATTGCATTTCCCTAATTTTCCCTTGGAATTGATCGGGGCGAGTGCACGATATTCGGCGTATGGGCTGCGCGGTGGTCGGGTGTCGTGCGCCAGCGGGGGATAGCCGGGGGGGCGTGGCCGTGCTGCAGGCGCAACTTGCGGGAGCAGCGCCCCGCGGAGCTCGGCGCCGCCCACCGGCTCGCCCCCGGGCGGGGACCACCGCCGCGCCCCGCCTCCCGCCCCCGCGCCGCCGCCCGCGCGGCGCCCGCTGTTCACTTCGCCCGCCGCCGTCGCCGACGCCCTCGCCGACGCCGTCGGCCGACGTCGTCCGCGCCTTGCAGTCGGCCCTGCGCGCGCGCCTGCCACCTCCCCGCGGGCCGGGCTCCACGTTCGGCGGGCGCACCGGCTGCCCGTCGCTGGGCCGCGCGCTGCGCGGAGGCCTCTTGCGCCTCTTCACGACGCGCGCGCCCGCGGCCGCGAGCAGAGCGCACCCGCCCCGCGCCGCTGCTGTTCCCGGCGCCCCGCGCGCCCCTCGCTCCGCCGCCCTCGCCTAGCGCCCCACGCGCACGCCCACGCGCGCCGCCCCCGGCCTCCGCGCGTTTTGCCCGCGGCGGCGGCGCCCGCTCACAGGCCTCGGCGGCCGGGCCGCCGCCGCCCCCGGCCTTGCGCGCCCTCGCCCCCCCCACGCCACCTCCGCTCGCGCCGCCGACCGCCGCCCTTCCGGCGCCGCCCTGGCCGCCCCGCCCTCCCCGTGCCGCGCTCCGGCCGCCAGCCTTCGACCCGCGCCCCGCCCGCCCCGGCCCGCCGCGCCCCTCAACGGCCCCCGCCCCGCCCCCGCGCCCGGCCCCGCCCCCGCCGCCGGCCCCCGCCCCCCCCCGCACCCGGCACCCCGGCCCCAGCCCCCGCCAGCAACAGGGAGTTGCTGCGTAGTGTGAGGTGCGTCCACGCCTTTACCAAACACGCTTTAAACCAACTTCAACAACTTGATTACAGGAGAAATATCGGAAAGTCGTCCTTTTAAATACCAGAGTCCACGGGTGATGCATCCCCTTAACACCTCAAACACGCATGCCGACCAATCAACCAGCAACTACTTTCCTTCACTTTTTTGTATGATGGTCCCTGACAGAAATGGACCTTTAGCTTTGATGTTTGAAATTTTCTCCCTATCTCCCTCTCCGCTTCCCCTCTCACTATCTCCCCTCTCTTTCCTAGATGTGAATATTGTCAAATAAATTTGCCTTTATGACAAGTATATAGGAGATCAAATACATTGAATTTCATAGGATTTCAAACTGCGGATTTTCCGCGATTAGGCTGTACTGTTACTGGTTTGGGGTAGTCCTAGTCTAGTTCTAAGTGTAGTCACTCTCCTTCCAAGGTTTTTTAAAGCAAAATAAAAAAAGCTAATAAATATGAAATATACTAACTAGTGGTGAATAAAACGTATCGAACGTTTCTTCTCGCATACTTTCACGGCAAAATTACGCGACGACTTCTCAAATTTTCCGAAAATTTATTTCAAAATCTAATCTGTAAGGAACAAGAATTTTCATTAAGGGAAAACATCTATGTTCATAACTGTAATTGTAGGGAAGATGGCCGCAACAATTTTGAATTTTCGAAACATTAGGTTTCTTTAACGAACATGAAAGACTTGCTCCTAATTGTCTTAAACATTCTTCACACTTCCAAAATTAATTATGTAGAAAAAATGCCAGCAGAGGCTTCATGTAAGTACCCCCAAAATTAAATATCGATTTCAAATTCAAGGGCCGTTCATCAGCCCAAATCGAATTAGGGAATATCAATTTCGGAGAAAATGGTTGAACGGGTTATCTACTAGCATTGTTCTCAGACGGTCGGGCCGAGGCCAGGTTGGAGCGGACGTTTATCTACTGTTCGTTCGCAGGACCCTGTAATTGTACTTGTAAATCTTGTACTTGTAATTGTACTTGTACTTGGTATTGTAATGTATTTGTACTTTTTCGTTGACGATTATGTAGCAGAGGAGAAAGTTAACGTAATGATGCTTCGAAAAAAGCGTCCAGAAAAAAGCTCTTATTAGCAGGGTCCTTTTTTTTTATAATATATAAGATATATTAATAAAAAAGGACCCTGTAATAAAGGCTTTTCGCTGCCCGCTTTTTTCGAGCATCATTACGTAACTTTCTCTCTGCTACATAATCGTCAACGAAAAAGTACAAATACGATTACAATTACAAGTACAAGTACAATTACAAGTACAAGATACAAGTACAATTACAGGGTCCTGGGAACGAACAGTAGATAAACGTCCGTCCAACCTGCTCGGCCGACCGTCTGAGAACAATGCTAGTAGATAACCCGTTCAACCATTTTCTCCGAAATTGATATTCCCTAATCGATTTGGCTGATGATACGGCCCCTTGAATTTGAAATCGATATTTTAATTTTGGGGGTACTTTACATGAAGCCTCTGTGGCATTTTTCTACATAATTAATTGTTGGATAGTGTGAAGAATGTTTAAGACAATAGAGCAAGTCTCATGTTCGTTAAACAACCTAATGTTTCGAAAATTCAAAATTGTTGCGGCATCTCCCTACAATTACAGTTATG